AGTCATGATCTCAGGGTCCTGGGATTGAGTGTGTTGGGCTCCACACTCAGTGGGGAGTCTGCTTGAGGATTCTCTCCCTCTCCCTCAGTCCTACCCTCAATAAATAAATCTTCTGAAAAAATTTTTTTTATGTTGTAAAAGACCATACAGTCATAGGAACAATATGGCCGTGCACAAAGCAGTGATCCTTTCCTTGAAAGACCACCATGTTGGATCATGGGCAACTTTCTCTACCTGTCCTTTTTTTTTTTTTTTTAAGATTTTATTTATTTATTCATGAGAGACAGAGAGAGAGAGAGGCAGAGACACAGGCAGAGGAAGAAGCAGGCAGGGAGCCTGACGTGGGACTCGATCGGGTCTCCAGGATCATGCCCTGGGCCGAAGGCAGGCACTAAACCACTGGGCCACCCTGGGTTCCCATCTCTACCTGTTCTTTTTGTTTCTCCTTTTAGGGTCATCTCACCAGGTTGTTTCTCCTATACCCCATACAGTACAAGGACTTAGAAAGTATTTTAACAAAGTTTGGAGGGGAAATAGAGATACATATAGCTAGGTAGGTATATAAAAACAAGTATATGGTCATTTGTGAATGGCCATTTTATATACATAAATATTCTCTACCTTCTCTGGAAATTGGAATGTGGACGTTACTTAATTTGAAGCACAGACTGTATAGGTCTCAAGATTTGGCTATTAAAAAAGGATCAGACAAAAATACAGTTGATGTTGATGGTAAGGTGCACTACTGCAAGCTGTAGGGTTGACCAAGTAACAACAAACTTAGTTACAATAGTGACATTAAAGTAACAGTAATTTGTACTTCATAAGAAAAGGGGCATATACAAACCTACTGCCATCTCAAGACAATAGAGATAACAAAAAATTAGGGTACATCTACCATCTGTGAGTACCTGTTCAGAGTAGAACCATGGCAGCATTGGGAGGCAGTTGTGAAACTAGAATCTGGGAAGTAGTTTGGGGTCCAACTTGGAGAAAAGCCCATTGTTTCTATAGTATTGGTCTCAATAATGCCTAATAACATCTATCTAATCATGAGAAAATGTGAGAGAAGCCCAAATTATCAGTCATTCTGCAGAATTCCCAACTGGTGTTCCTTAAGATTGTAATGGTGTCATAAAAGACGAGGGGAGGCTGAGGAGCTGTGACAACTAAATGTAATATGACATTCAGGATTGAGTCCTGAAATGGAAAAAGAACATCTGTAGAAAAACTGGAGAAATCCAAATAATGTCTGCAATTTAGTTACTACTAGTTGCTAGTAATGTACTGTAGCATTGTTATCTTATTTGTTTTAGTGATTGTACTGTGATTATCTAAGATGTTGACATGAAAGGAAGGAGGGTAAAGATAGAAACTTTCCACTATTTTTTTTAAAGATTTTATTAATTTATTTGAGAGATAAAAAGCATGGGAGAGGGGGAGAGTATCAAGCATGGAGCCCAAGTGAGGCTTGACCACATGACCCTGAGATCATGACCTGAGCCGACATTAAGAGTTGAGATACTTAACCAAACTGAGCTACCCCAGGTGCCCTGGAGATGTTCCACATTTTTGCCCCTTTTCTGTAGATCCAAAGTTATTTCACAATAGAAATTGAAAAAGTACTCTTATTTGGTAATGTGTGGATATTCTGCAATAGCTTAGCATTCAAGAAAATATACAAAATCTTTTTTTTTTTAAATGTTTTTTTTAATTTTTATTTATTTATGATAGTCACACACACAGAGAGAGAGAGAGAGAGAGGCAGAGACACAGGCAGAGGGAGAAGCAGGCTCCATGCACCGGGAGCCCGACGTGGGATTCGATCCCGGGTCTCCAGGATCGCGCCCTGGGCCAAAGGCAGGCGCTAAACCGCTGCGCCACCCAGGGATCCCGAAAATATACAAAATCTTGACTTAGCCAACCTCTTCAAGCATGCATCCCCCTACACATACTTTTATGGTCTGGCAATATTAAATCATTTGTTACTGTTAATTAGCTCCTTTGGGGAAGGGGAGGAGAGTAAATACAATTTTTGTATATATTATGAAATATTATAACTAGTGTAATAAACTAGCTGTGTACACCTCGTTTTAAGAACACTTTAAGAAATATAGCCCCCACTGGGTTTCCGCCCCTTCATAGCCTACTACCACCACCCAACTGCTACCACTTGGAGATAATCACTGCAATTTGCTGTTTAATAATCCCATTTCATCATTTTGCATTTTTCCAAACTTGACATAAATTATACTCTATGATATATCTAGAACTTGCCCTTTTTTTTGCCCCACATATATGTCTGATTCATTATTTTTCATCACTATGTAGATTTTCACTGTATGAATACCTAATATGTATTCATCCTCCTGCTGTCAAAACACATTGAGAATGGTTTTTTCTTTTATAGTTGTTCACTTTAAAAAGTGTTTTCTGAGACCAAAAGTGATATGTACTCTTTTTGAACTCCAATAACACTATCAACAACTTTTAACTCAGTATGACCTTTCATTCTGAGTAGTTTTCTCTTACATCAGATTGAAAGCTTCTTGACAATCTGTTTCCTCAAGATGAACGTTATTGGGATAATGAGTATCTAATTTTGTTGAATGAGTAAGTAAATACTTAAGTGAATTCAACACTGTCCACATATAGATCTTGGGCATATTTGTGTTCATTCCCTTAGTTGTTATGTGGTGTTGGCCTCCTGGGCCTTTTCTTTGTTAGAAAGATTTATACAATGTGAGAATCTGGCCACTGAGGTGGAAATACAGGGCATAAATAAAGCCTAAAACTTTAACTTGAGAAATTAAAAGCTAAGATTGCAGACAACACAGGTACATTGTTATGTCTGTGTGTGTTTAACATCCTAGGAAAACTTTGACAAAATTAGTAATAATTTTACTGCATTTGGCATTACAGAGCAAAGGGGAGCTCACTAACGTATATTATGGGGGAATTCTTTTGTGCATCATTCTTGTTAGAAAGCTTATTTGCCTTTGATCATTTTGATTTTGTACCCATTATTTTGCCAAAATTAATTTTTTCCTCCAAAATTATTTTATTCTCAATATACTTGCCAGCAGGAGAATGAATAAATACTGGGTATTCATACAGTGTTGATCCTGCTCTGCAAAGACACGTAACAGGTTTCACAGCCCTGGTGCCTATCTTGTTTGATTTCTGTAGCCGCTTTAGCAGGTAGGCAGGGCTACTATCATCCATATTTTACAGATTATGAACAGTGGAAAGGAAGCTGAGGGAGTTTGAAAGACTTGTTCAAGGTCACAGAACAGAACCAGATCTTTCAGCCTAGTCCTGGCTCTGTCTGGACATTACAATTTCAATGCTTAAAATAATTGAAAGTATTAATCAAGATGTTATTGCTTCACCAGAATTTTAATAGGTAATTCAGTAACATAATACCCACTTGACAGTTTATCATTGTAGTATGGATAGTTTCTCATCAGTGTTAGTGGTAGATTAATAACTGCCTTTTTTACTCTTCTTTGTTAGAAGGGTTCTCAAAAAAGCTGAAACTGAACATTGCAAAAGAGCATGTTGTGACTGGTGTGTGTTTTAAAGGAAAGGAAAGTCTTATAAGTAAAACTGAAAGGAAGGTGTTACACAGCCTCAAGTTAAAATATCTGAGAAGACAAATGGCCTTTGGGTAGCTTGAGACCTACAGATGAATTAAAATCTCTTGGTGTACAGACCGATGAAGTTGGTCACTCAAATTGTAATTTTAAAAAATGCAGAAGCAGGACTCTTAGAATATTGTCTTCATGTCAAAAATGCACCTTTGTGCTTGAAAATGATAAAAAATTACAATCGATCCTTACAACTGTTCTGTTCATCTTTATTGATCAGGTGCAAGAAAGATAAATCACAGCCCAAATAAGATTATAGTAAATGTTAGCATCGTAGGGGACTCCAGGTTGATAGAGAGCCATTCATCATCTCAAATGGTGACCTGTCCACTGCACCAGTCACCCTGAGTCTGCTGTCTAATCACATACCTATTGATTTTATCTACATCCAACAAACCTGGATGTGACTGTCATTGGGCAACCCAGATTGTTAAATGCAAAGGGGTCACTGGTGTGAAGAGGATTTCATTTTCATTTTCTCACCAACCAACAATGATTTATTAAAAAATAAACTACCCCAAGTCATACATGTGAAACCTGAGTGATCAGGGATTGAAAGTGCACGATAGACCACTGCATTCTGTAGTGTTCTTTTGTACCAGGATACATTTTACAGGATATTTCATTGAGTCTGAAGGCTCCCTGGGTCATTTAGGCCACCCCCTGCAGAAAGACAGGTTTCTAAGTAGCCAGCCAGAATACACAGTTTTAAATCTTTCTGGCTCAGGAAAGACATTACTTTCCTATTGCAACTTGATTTATGGTGCTTATGTGTTCATTTATGTAATATTGGAAACCTTTTTTTGTGTGTGTAAAAAATCACTTAAATCCATCCTCTGTTCTTACTGATTAATTTTTTACAAATGTTGACTTCATGATGTGGTCAGGTGGAGGTAACAGAACACATTCCATTCCATAAAGAATCCATCCTGAGGACAAAAATACTGTGTAAGAAAAAAGTGAACCTTGAATATCCTAGCTAGGATATTGGAATGATAGGCAAAATGTGTTAATAATTTTCTCATGGGATCAAATAATGATGAATTTTAAATATGAAGGTTTACTGTAAAGTCTCCCTCTGCCAATGTCTCTGCCTTTCTCTGTGTGTCTCTCATGAATAAAATAATAAAATCTTTAAAAAAAATGATTTTTATACCAGCAGATATACTGTTACTTAAATGGATACCTTTAGAAGCATTTTTAGAAGTATCTGTAACACTTATGCAAGAAATCTTTGTTCCTTGCTTGAATGACTGAAAAAAGATTTTACGTATTTTTTGTAATTGTAAGCCTTGCACACATTTTGTCCTCTTGTATAGTGAAGACTCTGTCATCAATTTGTGTCCACAGAGCTCAGAATTCTACAAAGTCACCACTGAACAGTATCAGAAAGCTGTTGAAGATGTGGAAGCAAAGTTTAAGTAAGTTTTTTAACACTATTATAATTATTTACTGTTCTTGACAAGACGAAAGTACAACTTTGTTGCTTTTTTGAACAAAAGATAGATTGTTGCATAGCCCTCTGGAGTACTTCCAAGTGTATTTGGGCAGTTGAGGTGGATCCATGTTATCTACTCTTATCGGAATTCAAACACAAGGAAAGGGCATTTGATGAAAGCTTGTTGCAACTCAATTTTATGAAGTTCAGGGAGATTTGAAAGCAGTGTACTAGAATTTTCATTTGGAATCATACTACATAAGATAGGATGCCCTTGATTATGAAGGTGATGTGAAATTGCTATTAATAATAGAAACATAGAGACCATTCACTTTCATGTAATAAAATGATGGGCTTGTCCAAATTTGAGTATCCACTTTTCTCATGTTTAAGCTGTTTTCATTTCTTCGCATGTACCTTGAAAGCATTTAAATCACAGACTTTACCTTGCCCCTGATTATGAAGGTGATGTTAAATTGCTGCCTCTGTTAATCCTTGGAATGTTTAAATGAATGTTCTGTAATTGATGGATCAAAGTGTCCATGACCCATAGCCCTGTACTTTCCCTTTGCTGCCAGTTCTCACGTTAGGTAAGAAGACATCATTCAGGATTTTCCTGAGAGTATAAATAGTTCTATTGTGTAACCCCTGTTAGTAGCACATGCGCAAATTAGTGAAGCAAAGATATTGTGACAGGTTTAGTCATAACTAAATTAACTTTAGTTTAAGGTTTAGATCGCATTGGGCTCTGACCTCCTTCCTGGTGCATGTTTATAAGCATTTGATGAAATGATTAAACCCTAAGGTGTAATGTTATTACTTTCTGCTGTGGTGCAATTTGTGTGGTAATGGTTATTAGTGTTATTTTAATGTTGATTTTTTTTTTATAAATAATTTTTTTAAGTTAAAGATGGTTTGAGGTATATTTAAACAGACAAACCTGGGGCACCTTGGTGGCTCAGTTGGTTAGCGTCTGCCTTCAGGTCAGGTCATGATCTCAGAGTCCTGGGATTTAGCTGAGCAGGGAGCCTGCTTCTCTCTCTCATTCTCCCTCTGTTCTCTCTCTTTGTCTCAATTAAAGAAATAAAATCTTAAAAAGACAAAAACACAGCAACCTCCGGTCTTGGTAGTGAATTATCTTTTTAGGGGCAGCAGGGAAAGGGCCACAGATCTCACTCTTACAAGTTCATGTGCTATCTTAAGTATTTAGATATAAAATTGGATATGGATTTGATTCTTTAAAGGTACTCTACCTACATATTTTTTAAGTTATCTTTTTATCTTTCTCCCTAATGATAAAGTCACATTCATTAACCTTTTTGTCTTTGTACCATGAGAAGTTTTGACTTGGCACTCTTCATTGTAAGAGGACAGCTATCCAAATAACTAAAATTTAAGGTAAATCAAAGGAGATCAATTCTGATTTGAATGATCTGTGAAGCTATCCTGAAGAAGAGGATAATTTACTTGAGCCTTGAGGAGGATATTGAGTAGGCAGAAAGGAAAAGTATTCAGAAGGAAAATCCTGCTCTCTAGTTGGTGGGTGAGAAATTGGTTCAGATCAGTGGTTTGACTCAGAGGGACTCCCATGCATGATGAAGTTGGAAAGGTCAGCAGGGATCATTCATTAACTGCTGGGTTAAGAAGTTGGCCTTCGGGGATCCCTGGGTGGCTCAGCGGTTTAGCGCCTGCCTTTGGCCCAGGGCGCGATCCTTGGAGTCCCGGATCAGTCCCACGTGGGGCTCCCAGCATGGAGCCTGCTTCTCCCTCCTCCTGTGTCTCTGCCTCTCTCTCTCTCTCTCTCTCTCTCTCTCTCTCTCTCTCTCTCATAAATAAATAAATAAATAAATAAATAAATAAATAAATAAATAAATAAATCTTTTTAAAAATATTAAAAAAAAAAAGAAGAAGAAGTTGGCCTTCATTGAGCTAGAAGTTTTCGGAAGGTCGTTGACGAGGTAAATGCCCTGATTTCTGTGCTTCTTGAGTAATATTAATCTGACAGCAGATATGAGGCTCCTTTAGAGGCATGAGAAACAGGAAGGTAATACTATATGAAAGAAAAGGAGGTGATGGGTGTAAACAAGTCATTGAAAGATTCACTAGGAATTAGTGAATGGCTGGTGTATTAGTTTGCTAGGGCTGCCTAATAAAGTCCCACAGGCCAACTAGGTTAACAGAAGTTTATTTTCTTGCAGTTCTGGAGGCTGGAAATCTGAGATCAGGGTGCCAGTAGAGTTGGCTTATCCTGAGACCTCTCTTGCTTGACTTGCAGGTGGCCATCTTCTCCCTGTGTCTTCATAGTGTCTCCCTCTCTGCATCTGTCTTGATCTCCTTTTCTTAGGAATCACTTTGGATTAGGGCTCACGCTGATGACTTCATTGTAATTTAATTCTCTTTAAGAACCCTTTGTCCAAGTACACTTTTCTGATACCGGTTGTCCTTGGGTCTTCAGCATATGAATTTGGGTGGGAGAGGGCAATTCAGCCCATAACACCTGGATAGAGGGGCCAGGGAGAACCAGAAGTAGAGGTTTAGCAGATTGGGAAATTGGTGGAAGCTGGATTTTTATAGAGAGAGTTAAGTCTGGCTTTAGATGAAAAGAATCATTCTTCTGAAAGCCCCATGCACCTGCCATGTTGTTCAGCTTGGGTTAGCCTGCCGACAAATGAGAGGCTACATGGAACACAAAACTAAATATCCTGCTGGCTTACTTTCTCCCAAGACAACATGGAAGCTATAGGTTAGATTTCGTTTTAATCAGAGCCTCAGCAGCCTTATTCTCTTTTACCTTTATAAAATATTATTTATTAATTCTACTCTCACCTGGTGGAGTAGATAATTTGGCCTTTCCCAAAGAGAGGTCTGGCCTTTATACTCAACTTCTGGGTGAGGTAGCTTCTAACTCTTTGGAATTTCCCAAGTGATGGAAGTATCTCATTAAATGTCATGAATGGGCCATGTGGTGTCAGCCCGACCTCTGGGGAGTGGTGCCAGAGACTGAATTCAGCCACATGGGCAACCAGTGAAGGCCATATAAAGAGGCCCCAGTGGAACTCTGGACACTGGAATTTGGGTGAACTTGGGTGAACTTCTCCGGTTGATAAATACTCTGTGCATATTGTCACAGGTTGCTGCCCGGAGGATAGAACTATCTTGATAACAGTGGAAACTTTGCATCTGGAACTCTCCCAGACTCTGTCTTATGTATCTCTTCATTTGGCTGATTCTGCCTATCATTTCCCATAATAAGCCTTAACTGTGAGTTTAATAGCTTTCTGTGAGTTCTGTAAGTCCTTTCAGTGAAGTATTAAAGGTTAGAGTGGTTTGGGTTGAACTGGCAGATGATGTCATGGTGAGGATAGTCTTGGGCACTCTGCCTTTAGACTTCGCAGTTTGGCTAACTGTAGAACAAATAAAGCTCCAGGTTTTTATATACTGTGAAGGAATTTTAAGAAGCTGGTTCTTTAGAGAGTGGCTTTCATTATATTACTGATTTTTTTTTCAGTGCTACCTGCTAGACTGAGCTTCCTAGAACATTGTATTTTTGAATTGCATTGAGTTCGTTAGCTTCATACCTAGGAAGTGATCATGCCATGGTTCTAAGAGTTGCTTACCATCTTTGAAGGCACTGAAATTTCTCAGTGGAACTTTGTTTCTCCTTACAGATTTGGCCATCGCAGGTAATCATGGTGGCTTTTATCTTTTGCAAGGCAGTATAGTATCTCCTTTTCATTCATGGCAGAGCTGATCTCGGCCATCCCCTTTAGACAACAGGCTCTGAAGGACTTTGAGGAGGATTTAGTTAATTTTATCTAATGGAAGATTTCATTTGGTTGTATTTCGGTAATAGGAGAGAGAAGCTTTTTGAATTGCAATTTCAGGGGCGATATTATACACCTGATAGGGAGTCACACAAAATCACTGTAAAGAGAAAGAAAGCTAAGAGCATTTGAAAGCCGCACATGATAAACACCATTCACATTGATGCATCCTGCCAGGATAGCTAATGGAATTATTTTAGGGATGCTTAAATATTAACTCACACTTGAGTCCTTCAGTTTATAGTTTTGGCAGGAAACCATTAAAACACTTTAGATTTAATGGAATTTTTTTCCCTATTTAATCAACGTGTCATTCATTCAGAGAGCTCCTCTATGACATGCCCTCTGAGTTCTGAATACACAGCCATGAGGAAACAGGTAGGATCTTACCAGTATGGAACTCAGAGTCCATCAGAGAAAGGAGGAAGACAGAATTTTTAAATAAAGTGCTTTTTAAAAATTCCAAAGTTAGTTCTAGTACGATGGGATACCTATGTCCCCAATAAGTTATTAAAAATACTATTGCTGTTCTTTTCAGTAGGGATTAAACAATTTGGAGATTAAGAATATGTGCTGTTTATTATCCAGCAAGAACTTTTACCCCACAATAGCTTTAAAATTTTAGCCCCAAACCCCAAATCACTTAGCAAATCCACCATTTTTTTTACATCTAGCTTTTTTTTTTTTTAAGATTTTATTTATTTATTGAGATGACAATAATGAGAGAGACACACAGAGAGAGAGGCAGAGACACAGGCAGACACAAGCAGAGGAAGAAGCAGGCTCCATGCAGGGAACCTGATGTGGGACTCAATCCCAGGTTTCCAGGATCAGGCCCTTGGCTGAAGGTGGTGCTAAACCACTGAGCCACCCGGGCTGCCCTACATCTAGCTTTTATTCAAAAGTTAACCTTTATTTTTCCCAGTCCAACTAGAAACGATCACTTTTAGCAGTTCCAATTGCTTCTATCATCCTTTGTTATTATCTGTTAAATAGAACAATTTATGGTGCTAGTTCCTAGTTTCGTGATGCTGGTACCATGTTACATACCTCAGTGTACTGAGGATTATGCTCCATGTTAATCCTTATTTTCTACCTGATAGGTAATTAATTCAACAAAATCCACATTGAATGTTACATAGATAGTACTTAGCACAGG